CAAAATGTACTGAATCCAAACCATACCTAATATTCTGTTGCGTAAACTTCATTTTTGAATGTTTTTCTTTGGCTTCTTGTAACTCCTTGTGAGTGAAATTGTATAATTAAACCCCTAAGGTTTTTTCTTCTCTTAGACTTCAGTTACTATTGCCATGATCTTTCAATTGGATGCATCTGAAACTTTTTATTCCTCAAGGTTCTGCAAAATTGTCTTTTCCTTATCAGTCTCTACTGCTCTTCTTCCAGAACCTGACACGCTCTTGATGACGATTTCTTGACTAACACAAGTGGTGTTTTTTTCTTTCCCAGTCACTACCTGTAATGCAAAGCATTCTACTAAACTGGTTTGTGAGACTTCTTGCTTCACTCCATTCTCTCAAGAGCAAGTGTAAGGAAATAACAAAAATACAAGATTTAGTTGGATGAAGTTTCCTGAAATCTGTCATGTAAAACTGAACCTGTTTTTATAATGTTGTCTTTTATAAATAAATTTTAAGCAGGATGAGGTAAGGACTTACTCAGTATGTCCATGAGAGCAAGACAATAATTTTTTTTTCCCAATTGTGTGTTTGTCTCAGAAATGCCGTTTTGGGGAAAAGAAACCAGGTGCACATCAAATTTGATGAACAGTTTTGTTCTAAGTTAGCAACATTTGAAGATCAGAAGATTTCAAATGCATGAAAATTGAATACTGACTTTTAGATTGGGTTAATGGCCTAAGTGTATTAGCAAGATAAACTGTGTAGGTGATGGAATATACTTTATTAGACCAGCTGATATAATTGGGCAAACAGTGATATAGGGGTGTACCATTGAGTTTCTGAAGGTAAGTTCATGTTGTAGTTCATGAGGAGAGGGCAGCATGCAATGGTGAAAGGTAAAATCAAGGAATTTCTCAGTACAACAACAGGGAGTAGGAAGAGGTACCATTTGCACAGCAAAAATTTTGAGAAGTGCTATTTTAAAAATTACTGATTGGAAATCTGCTAGTGAAGAATAGAAGAGGAAATGTAGAGGTGCTGTTTCGATAACATGAACAAATGGGTATTGGCCTGAGAGAAGTCAATTAAAATTCTCACAGCAGTCAGCAATTGTTTACTGTTTATTTAATTTGAATGTCCAGGTTAGCAGAGAAGGCAGTCAAATCCTCTGAAAAATCGGGACTTTATGATCTTAAAGGTCTTTTCCGACCTAAATGATTCAATGATTCTATCTAGGTGCTTTTAATGTGGTATCCAAGATTAGAGGGCACGATAACCTTGGCTGTCACTTTTGTATATGAGACTGCGTATTCATGAATGCTATATTATCATTATCTCAATACCTTGAGAACATATTACAGCTGAGAAGGTGTTCTCAGAACCATCACTTTGAGTGCTAAACTTCTTGCATTCTTCCTCTTCAAATCAGTTTCAAGTCTACTGGTCGTTATTTTTCAGGGATTTTTTTCTTTTGAAGAGATAAATTGGAAAAGTGATGTCCACTAACCCATGCTACCAAAACTTATTTCTGATACTAAGGTTGAAACTATAGGATAAGCTTCTGTAAGCAACCCAAGATACTGGTATTTGTCCTCTTTCTGTCTTTTCCGGATGGGAAAGAAATATAAATTTTCTTTCACTGAGTGCTACAGCTCTTCGGAAGACTTGAAAAATGAGTCTTGAATCCCACAGGTTAGTTCCAAATCCTGGTTAGACAATCATCTTGTTTACACTCCTGTGTCTTTCTCCTTCCTTGTGGTTCATACATGTGGTCATTCAAATCTGCTGTCTCCTTTTGCACATTGAGTGGGCTTCTAAGTGAAAAAATCAAAGGAACAGGTCATCCCAACACTTTTGACTGATAGTGATGTTACAGTGGTCTTTGACAAGAAGACTAATCACGAGAAAATCCTCTGTAATTCCTGTGAAAACACTGCCTAGTGATGAACATGCAGGCAACCTTCTTAGAACTAGGTTCTCTTGTTCTTTCAAGCATTCACACAGACTGTTCATTAAAAGCTGAAAACTTGGCCAAAGGTGTAGCTTTTCAAGGATACCACAAAAGACATCTCCTTGAAGCTGACATTCCCTCTTCTTTCCATTCCTTTGAAATTTAAAATCTTCTGGTTCAAGTATTACAATTTCTAGAGCTTCCCAGTGAAATAGAAATTGGCCTGACTAGGCTTCTTTTCGTGTGTGTATCTCTGTGTGTGCGTGCATGCACACATATGCAATGGATGTCTTTTTTGTCCCTAAGGAGGGGTGGGGGGGATTTTGAATCAGATTCATCACATTTGGAAAGTTTAATCCAGTTACTTATTTGCCTAAGTCATAAGCAATAGATTTTTACAATATAAAGATTTAGGTCATCTTGACTATTCAGACCCAATTGCTTCTCTGTGCTTATGATTATGCAAATAATTGTCTATCAAAAATGATTGAAATCCTAATTTTTCAAGAAATGTAATAGATCTACTTGGTCATAAATTTACCACTCTCTACATTAGGTGAAAAGAAATCACAAGGGAAGGAGACTGTCTACATTAGAACATGTTGTAGAAAGTTTAATAATGGTGTGGCACTTCCATTCTTTCTATGAGGTCGGGGAATTAAAAATGTAAAAACATTTCTCACAGGTTGTGGCAATAGCACTTAATGGAAGCACGTTATTTAGATTAGGCATGTACAAAAACTCAGCAGGATTCTATAGGAGCAGCACTGTCTTCAAGTAAACTCTATGAAAAGTTAATTATGCTTTTTTTGATGGCTTTCCTATCCATCTTCTAGCTGTATATAGGCTCAGCGTTTCAAGCATGCCCTCTATATAAAAGGTGTTTATCAGAAGCTAGCAAAGAACACAACCCTCAAAATGGTCAAAGGGACAACTATATTTTGTTTGAAATGTGATCAAAACTAAATCCTGAACATCTCAAAGTCCTTTGAAATAGTGATACTTCAAGCTCTTCTAGTTAATGTCAATTTGAGCCCAGGTAGCGTATGTTCAGATGCAAGCTTTTAAACGCTAAGCCATTTCCTTCCTAAAGTGAGACTAACTGGCAGTAGTCTTTCCCCTAATCCTGGCATTCCTTAAGCTCAGATTTCCCAGTTGGTAGGTTTAATTGGTAAGTGAACAGCCATGAAGTCGTATCTCTACACGGGGATTAGGTGGCAATGTGGAATTTGGCAAGGACTCTCAGCTTTGCCTGCCTGCACACTTTTGAGGCACCACAGCTTAGATGCCTCTAAACTGTTCTCTGATTGATGGCACCTTGTTGGTATTCCCATTGGTTGTCAGCCACTGTCTTGTGTGGTTCTTGCAGGAAGCTATGGAAACCTGTGGTCCTTGGAAGTTTACAACTGGGGTAGCCAAACTCTAGAGGCTGCTTGTTTTGCTTGGTTTTTTTTCTAAGCCCTGGCTGTTTGGCCTTCTGTAAAACAAAATTCTCAAAGGCAATTCGCTTATGCCATAGGGGAAAAAGACTCCTTGGAGTTCTGGTGGAAAGATCCTCTCGTCCCTTTGATAGCCGCCTCATCTTCAGCGGCAGGGATGCTCTTTCTCCCTTCTAGGCCCTCTGAAACAGAGATGAAACAGGGTATTTATGTCTTTCACATTTTAACTGGTCATGGAGGTGAATCTCAAATGAGGGTGAGGGGAGGTTGTGTGGTTTTTTTGTTTTGTTTTTCTTTCTTTTGTTTTTGAGCTTGCTACATAGAATTTCTGTAAGCTGTTGGCAGTTCCTCTGTAATGCTGTGTTCTTTAGCGTTCTTGATGTATTGAAGGACTTACGGTGATTTCTTGTCCTTTGCTTTATTGTTCTGGTTGTTTGCTACATTTCTTCAATTTAGATCACCTTTTAAAGTCTTTTTTCATGACCATCAGGAAGATGGAAACTTTTAACGCAGTCTTGAGAACACGATGCGACTGTAAGGCTCTACAATTCATTTTATATTCTAATCGGTTTCTGGCAAATTCTTAGATTTTTGGGGTGCTTCAAGAAATTCACATAAGGCTAACAGTAATTACAAGATGAAAGAAAACTGAATGAAATATATTTTCACAGAAGTCAGGTTGTTGATAATTTAAGAAAAACTGAGGTGCTTTTTCCCGATCCCTCAAACAGTATCATCTTAAATTGTGGATCAAGGCTCAGATGCAGACAGGACAGATTGATAAGGAAATAAGACCATCAGTTGCTATTGAACACAACAGTGTTGATGCACCTTTTGGCTCAGAAGTTCAAAAACCACTGCTTAGTGGATGCTGGGAATGTGTGCTGGCGGAGTACCATGCTGTGCATGCCCTGTTTTCTTCTGAAAAAGCTTTTGCCTTGCTGTAGTTGGCAACACAGTACTGGGCTAGATAGATCTTTACCAACTGTAACCATTTTTTATGTCTTGTCACTTGATGCTGTCACTGCACTTCAGTCCTTTCTCTGTATGATGCCAGTTTGAAATTTCAGTCTAGGCACTTCTGGTTATTTTCCTTCCTCCTCACCTTAGATGTGTGAACTGTTTCTTTCAACTGCCTGTGAAGAGGGAACAGGTTAACTGTACTATACATGGCTTACGAGGAAAAAATTATTTTGACCAAGTGAATATTTTCAGTTTTAAAATACTACAGGTTCAGAGTTTAGCCCTGCATCACTTTGTTATGGGAGATGGGTTAGTGAAAGAGTTGCTATTTATATGAATATCTATTTTTAATGTTAATGTATTTGAGCTGATACTACTTCTAATTCAGTAATGAAAAATAAAGCTTTTATGTAGAGCTATAATTGGAAGTACTTCCAGATACTTTACTGAAAGGATTCTTACTGATCTGTGCATTGCAGAAAGCTTCTTTATATTCCAAAATGTTCTGCAGTGTGACTTCTGCCATTCTGTATAGATCCAGAATGTGCTTCTCACTTGTCATTTCTCTTGGCCAGGTGTTTTTTACATATTATAACATGTTCTCATTAATCATATTGTGATAAGAGTTTTAGTGAACACAATTTCTTTTTGTTTTGTCTTGCAGGCACCAAGTATAGATGAAAAAGTAGATCTTCACTTTATTGCATTAGTTAATGTAGGTGGTCATCTCTATGAATTGGGTAAGAACACTTTTTATGCGCTCTCTCCGTTTGTTTGAAACAAATACAAGCAGTAATGGTGTTAACTATCAAAGTTTGAGAGAGATTACTTGATATAATGTAGGGCTTAGGTTCTTTTCAACTGCATCATAAGGTCTGGGGGGTGGGGGGTTCTGTCAAACAATTGCAGCCTTCTTCCCATTGTTTTTTTGGATTCTCCTTCCCTCAACTCCTTCCTATTAAGATAAAATGGTACGGAATACTAGATTGCCTCTAAACTTCCTTTATGATTTACAAGGACAGGAACCAAGAAAGAATTGATGAACACTCAAAGTTTCAGAGAGGAAAGTACTGTTATACTTATGTCCCCGAATTAATTATGGAATTAATAAATGAACTATATGCCACTTCAGAAGTGTTAGCTATATTACTAAATAGCGTGATACAGTTTGAACTGAAATTATGTAGTCAGGATACTAGCTGATACTAATATTCTGCAACTCATTTGTTATAGGCTGGTTATTTTTTCTTCTACCTTTTTGTGGTCACTAGACAGTTAACTGTAAAACAGCAGTCTCTGTTTTCTGATTTACAGCTATTTTTTTCCCTCTTCAGATTGTGTAGCACCAAGTTCTGCTCAGATATTCTCTAATGACTCCCATCTTAAACATGTTGCTGGGCAACTAGGCTTTACTGCAGGTGCTTCAGAAAACTAGCAAGTAGATCAGGATTTAAAAACTGCAAGTCACTGGTCTTTCCTAACATAATTTTTGCAGTATTTTATGGTGAGAACATTTTCATCTTTTGAAAATCAACATGTAATTAAGCAATGCCATTAACAGGTGACAAATAATCATAACCTGGGGCATAAGCAGTATATAAGAAGTGTTTATGTTAATACCTCTTAGGTCACCTTAATATTATCAGTGGTAACTCATGAACAATAGGCACGCATTTCGGTATTTTTATGATGCTGTATGTCTGTCAGTGAACTAGATCAAATAGTGAGGCAACTACTGTAGGATGCAATATAAATATTTTATGACTAAATTTCAATGCTTGATGGATGGCTTGCTCTTCTTCTAGTTGTGCTACTATTTCCATGTTACTTTTTCATTGTGCATTAATTTGCTCTGCTTAAAAAGCATACTGCAGACTACAGTTACCATGTTAAGCTATTTTCTGTAAGTATGTTGCAAGATAAAACCAACTTGAATTTTTTGCTTAAATTTAAAAAAAAAAAAAAAAAAAAAAAGACGCATTTAGCTCCACTGTATATTGGAATGCCAATACTACTATTTCCTTTGTTCTTAAAATAACATCTCTCTGTACCAGCGGAAGGAAGCAAAAAATACTTAAAAATAGGAAAATGGGAGAAGGTTTTTCAATTGATTCACTGGCTTCAGTCACTGTGGCCAGCATGTGGGCTTTGGCAGGCAGAAAATGCTAAGGAGGCACATGGATGTTAAATGCTTATGATGTTTTTGCCATAGAAAACACGTTATTTATAGGCACATGAAATTAAAATGCTGTTCTGCCAAGATGTATGTTAAAAAAAAAAATCAAATCAAACTTAGCTTGCAACAGTACAGGGTATTCAGTTCTGTTTCCCTGGCACGTTCTGAGGGTTTTGCATTGTTGTATCTTCAATCATGGTTGTTACAATAATGAACAACCTCTTGTTCATGTCAATCCAAAAGTTTTCTAACATGGAATCTATTTTTAGTTCTGGAAAATGTAGTTTGGAAGTATTGTCAACTTCAATGGAATCTTTGGGGAGGGAAAAGTCTTCTAAATGGAGGACAAAGCCAAAAGGGAATTTGGTCTAGCAAATACTTAAAATATCCTGACACATGTTCTCATGCTGTTAGCTCTTCACAAGTAACCTGAAACATACTTCTATGAATGAAATTATTTTTAAAATGCTGAGAATGATAGCATTATTGTATTGCAAATGGGAGAGAAAATCATTAACTATAGCAACCATTTTAAAAAGCTGTGAAAGTACTTAAAGTTATTTGGTTTGTTTGCTTTTTTATTTTAAATGAGAGTAACATTTCAGTTATGCCAGACTCTTCAAACTGATGGGTTTGGTGTTCTGTTCTGTCGTGGAGTCCCTGATCACAGCTGTCAAAGACCACATTTGTCTGGGTAAATCCATTAAGTGTAGTTGAAATTGTTCTTCTCTACTTGAAAAACTGAAGTACTATACCAGCACTAAAACAATGGCAACTTACAACCTTGAAGTTTTCAAATAAAATAATAAAAAGTATTTCATTGTTTTGATTGGATTTTTTTTTAATGTAACAAAACTGTACATAATGATACCTATTGAAGCAGTCAGCAATGGAGGAGAGACCAGGGAATAGCTAGCTGCATGTGTGATTCTTTTATGAAAAATGAGGTAGCATTTTTGTAAGTGAAGAGCAAAAAAATCTGTTCAAATAGTTTTAACTGGAAAAATGAAGCTTTTCTAATTCTATAAATGTGTTGTTAATCCTGCTTTGTGTTTCAACAGATGGGCGCAAGCCATTTCCAATAAACCATGGGGAAACTAGCGACGATTCTTTTTTAGAGGTAGGAATAGAAAACCTTCTTAAATGGTGTTATACAAAATTCTTGCTATATTTCCACAAAATTCATTTAAAAAAATTATACAAAAGTCTCGCTATAGTTATGGTTGGATGAGGAATAGAGCGAGAGGGATGGTGAGACAAAATAAGGTTTACTCAGTTTTAAAACAGGTATTTCAGAACGCTCATGTTGTGACTCTGGATGACAGAGTATCATATCATGGTAATAAGAAATGTCAGAAGGGTTGACCGTTACAGAAGATCAGACTGACTTTTCTTCTGTGCTGAGATTTTCATATACCCATGCTCCTTTCAAATTGTACATGAGATGAAGTCATCAGATTGAAAACTTAGGATAATTTTTCATTCTCTGTCCTTCGGTTTAGTTATAGTTTGATAGGTGCTATGCTAGACAGAGGTTGATTTCCTTTTTGACACTTGCTAATAATCATTCTTCTCCAGTTTCGTGGCGTCTTTTGGCTGTTTGTTTGTGACAGGAGCTGTTTAGTTGAGAAATGAATTGGAAAGGAATACACTGAATTGGGAGGATAAACTGTTATCCCCACAGAATGACGCGAAGTTGAAGCTGAGAGAAGGCAATGCATAGATCTGACTTTTATGGTATTCAGCCTGGATTAGCTTTACAAAACGAAGAAACCAGAGAAACTAAAAAACAAACAAACAAAACCTTTTATAGTTTAGTAGCATAGACTAATGTCTGTAAAAATTGCATACAATTTGTGCTTGTTTGGGCAGGGGGAGAAGTTGGATAAAGCTTTCCTTTTTTCATATGTGGCTTTTTTCTGTTTTACTGATAACATGTGTTCTCCAGATTGCACCCTAAAGCTAGATGAAGGAATTACTTACAGTCTTTCACTTACCCCACACAGCTTAGATTCATCTCGAGACAAAGGAGAAAACTGAATACAGCAGTACTAGTAAAGGCAAACTTCAGAGATGCATTTAGAAAGTCAGAGAAGCAATACATCTGTTGCACAAAGTAATATTCAGTCACAAAAATAATTGTTGCTAAGGTTCTGCATAAAACCTGCTCTCTTACACTGCCCATATGAGCACTGTAAAATATCTTGAATAGTGGTATCTCAGATCAGAAATACAGTTTATGTAGATTTGTCACACTATTTAGTAATCCTTTATGGAAAAATCCATTTTGAGGATAGTTTGTATAAAGCATATTTCATATTTCAGTTGTGGGGTTTTTTTAATAAGTATGATTTATAGTGTGTTTTGTTTTGTTTTGTTTTTTGTTTTTTACAGTTTTCTCTAGGATGCAATAGAAGTTTGCAAGAAATTCATGGAACGTGATCCAGAAGAATTAAGATTTAATGCAATTGCACTGTCTGCAGCTTAAAAGCCTTTTCCAGTGGGGCTAATCTATTGCAATGTATTGTAACAATAAAACTGTTGCCATATGTTAATAGTACAAATTTTGATACTTCCCTAACATGTTGATTAATTGTAGCATACATGGAATAAACTTTGCATTTGTCCTTGCTATATCTTACTGCTTGTTCCTAAAGCAACATTGGGTATTTATATACACGCATGCTTTTTGTGCAAGACTTCTATGTGGTGGGTTTTTCCCCTTCCACCCCCTAAAAAGTTTTGGGAATTACTGTCTGTGATATTTCATCATAATAATGATGAGCTAGTTCAGAGCAGGATTATGATTTGTATCATTCACAGATAACACTTTGAGTGGAGTATGTGGTATGTTAATGGGTAAAAAGTTGAAATATGAGGCTATCTGCATCTTTTAATTATAATGATACAAGAATATTGTAAGAACTTTTGCAGGTGACTCAAAAGACAGGCATTTTTTTCAGTGCATCATTTATAAATAAATATATGGAAGAAAAAAGGCAGAAAAGGGACTGTTTCTTCTTACTGTTGGTGAGCACTAACATTTTAAAATTATCTTAATATTTACATTTTGAATAAAACTTAATTTTGTTTCTTAAGTCTAATAATGTTAATAAATTGTCAAAAAGCTTTAGTTAAACCAGTGTTTGCTATTTGTGTATGTGGAAAAACAACATGGATTTTTACCCCAGAAAAGCCACACTAGTAATTAATGCTGGTTCAAATGTAGGGCTGCAGAGGGCACAGGTGAATAGAGCAATGTGAAGTATCTCACCTAATTGAAATTAAGTGATAAAAAAGTAATGATTGTTGTAATGAAGTTTTGTGTAACAAGAATGGAAACAGACTATAGATTTTAAGATAGCCATGATGACTTTTTTCCCCCTCTAGGATTATCTGTTGTAAGTTTGTCAGGTGGCATCACTGAATGCTATGTGATACCCCTACCCTGTGCCATCCCTCCCACCCCACCCACTGGACCTGAAGGTACTGTTGACCAATTTCTACACTAGAATTAGTGACAACTTGGTTGTGTTGGGGGTGTTTTGGGGCTTTTTTGCTGAGCTATCTTATGCTTTAGGATTCTTGTGAAGATTGGTTTTGGTTAATGTGCATGTTTTTGACATTCCAGAAAAATATATCCTTATTGCTTTGAAGCGAAATAATTCAGGTTTGCTTCCAATCAAGATCACTGCCGAAGGAAACTGAACGCTCCGTGTCCCAGAGGGTGTTTTCATTCTCTATCAATTGTCATTGCAGGAAAAACGAATGGGGTTATGCCAGAAGCAATCTGGCTGAGTTTTCCTTCTTTATAGAAAAGAAATAGGCCTGGGAGTCTGTCTTATCACTTAAGAACATCTTCTGCACTCTAAAGAAAAAGTCAGAGCGTCTGTCTAAAACATGTCACCTGGTGAGTCCACTAACAACAAAGTCTGTTTTCTATAAGTGAGCTGGTTGGAAAAGTGAGGGGGAAGAACAACACTAATGAGCTGCTATTTTTGAGCACTTTTTCACCCCAATAAAATGCAGTATCGTTAAGACTTGCTTTATGTTGCCATGCTCATTAGTAAAGCCTGAAACTTGCTTTTAAATAAAAATCAAAGGTTTTAGTAACTAAAGCAGCTGCATTGTCTTCCTGATAATATCAGAAAAAATCAAATAAAAGTTGTCACAATTTAATTGGGATATTGCATATTTTATGCTAAGGGTGACTCGGAGTATTACATTTAAAGTAAGCTATAGTTAATATAAATAAGGTGTTTTTAGGGTAGGGAGGAGGGTGAGGAAAAAGAGGAAGAGGAAGTGCAGTTCAAAGATGTTAAACTAGCTACATCAGACGTCTGCTTTAGGGAAATATTCACACCATATATGCTCTTCAATGTTCAGAAATTTTGGTGGTTTTAGGTAATAAATGGAGGGGCTCTGTTTTTGTGCAGTTACTTATTGCAAAATCACTTCAGAATTGGAGCTTTAATTGAGTATGAGGACTGATTAAGTGAATTCATGACAAAGGAAATCAAGCTTAGAATAGTAAACTTGGAGTGGGATTTTTCATGGTCACACTGGAAAAATACATCTTGAATCTTAAGTAAAAACTTATTTATAAGAATTCTTACTATTTTGGCAATTTGATAGTTTTGCTCAGCATTTTCTACGTAGTCTTCAAATCAGTTGTCCTGCAGGGTAAGGTTCCCTTCCATTCTGTTTTTACTTTCTGTGTTAATTTCTGGTTTATTAATATACAAGATGGTACTTTTTAGTGAACATTGCTTTTGGAAAGGTTCTCAAAAGTTTGAGATGACAAAGGAAGTGCAGTGCACCAGTTTTTACGCTGAGCTGTATCTGCTCACTGCACGGTCCTTGCTAGATTAAAATTTTGAAAGACTGCACTGCAGAAATACCATCTTGCCTAACATGTACAGTGTAATGGCCTTCCAGTGCTTGTAAGACCATGCTTTGGCACAGGCATTGGTGACCATCTTGAGGAGCACAGGAAGCAAAGGGATCTACAAGATGCTGGAATATCTTTGGCATTGACAGAACCTGTATAACTTGGTAACTTGGATACAAGGAATGAGGTGCGAACACTTGGCTGACTGGTAGAGTCCAGCAAGGTCCTGACTAGGGGCTTGCAGGCCCTGCAGAAGCACACGGTGCTTTTGGCTCTGCGATGCCCATGCAGACATTGCCTTATCTATATAATCTGTGCTTATTAGCTCCAGCTCTGTGGGAAAATAACGCTGTATTTGCAAACTTGTGCAGCCCTGCCAGAGCCTCGCCACCTTTGCGTGGAGCGTGGTTTGGCCACAGGCATGCAGTGCTAGTAACTGCCAGGAAATCCCTCTTCAGCTCCTGCAGTCTGGGCTGGCCCTAAACATCATCTTATGGAAATGGTGCATGTAGGAGTGAAGCGATGATGCATGCTCAGCACTTATATTAATTTTAGCTGAGTGGGGCTGGTGTGCTATTAAGCACTCAGGATCGTTCAAGTTCTTTTAAGTATATTGGTGTAAGTTTTCCCATGTTATTACAAGCATTTTATTGAGAAACAGTAAGAATTTAATAACAGTACAATGCCCTTTCCTTTCAATCATGGCTGCATGATTCAGTTAAGGAAAGGAGAACGAAGTGTTTTCTGTCATTGAAGTGTAAGTTTTAGAAAATAAACACACTTAACAGCCCACGTTTAAAAAATAAATATGGTCTTCCCTTAAGGGAAGCCTGCCTTCGTAGAAAATATTATTGTATCCAATATTTGTAAAGCTCTGTGTGGAAAGACTATGACATAAACTGTCCCTTATCCCTGGGAGCACACACAGTTGCTGAGTAGAACAAATACTATGTTGGCTACTTTTGACACCAACAATTAGCAGTCATATCTGATATATGTAGTCTTTTTCTCATCGAGGAGTCTGGTGACTTACCATGTTAGCACAAAGGAATATTAAACTATTTTGGTTGTTTGGGCTTTCATAGATAAATTATCTGTGACAGTCGATTTAAAATTCACTTTAAGGAAGAAATTTGCATGTTGGAACTTTTTTTACTCAGTGAATAACTTCGACTTGAAAGCTGCTGTGGTCCATGCAGCTTACTAAAGGAAGGATTTAATCAAATTACTTGATTACTCAAATTTTACTTGAATTATTTGTTCTAAAACATTGAACACTTGATTCATTCAAAAAGTGATTTCATTTGCCATTAAGAGAAATAAAACAGCCAGAAATAAGCGAGAACTTGGAATCTGTTTTTTAAACGTGACCTCTTTTGAAACCTGTTTCATAGAATTTTATTCTCAAATAAATTTAAACTTTTATAGTATTCATAGTTAATTCCTCCTACTTGGGGACAAGCATCATATTTTTATATGAAGTGAAAAGGCAGACCTTAAAAATCTGGGAAAGGCTGCAGTAGTTCTCCAGAAAAATGTTTAGTAATGACAGCTAACGCAAACTGATGTCAGCCAGCAACAGCAGCACATACACGCTTTATTTAGCCTTTGTAGTCATGAATGTTAAATAGTGAGATGAGAGGGTTGCTTTCTGATGCTCAGGCTTCTCACTCAAGAAAAAGGCACATTCTTCATTTGTTTTTGGTCTTTTGGCTGATCTGGCTTGGAGCAGGAAAAAGGAGTAGGAAAATATTTCAAAATTATAGCTTTGATTATCGTTTTATTCATCACTGGCTCTATAGCATAGATGTCTCAAATCATACCACTGTGAGGAGCTAACTACATAATTTCAATGCATTTGTAACTTTAGTAAATGGCAAACATCTCCTGTGGAACTTATTTCAGCCAGTCACTGGGTTTTCCTTTCTGTGTGTAGCACCAGTAACACTGATTTCCATGTACTGCAGAAACTGCTGGCTAGTAGCTTCTTGGTATCTTGAAATGATCTCCTAAAATCTTCTTCCCTATTTTAAGAAGGTTGTTTACAGAGCAGAAATAAGATGTGCTCCCAAGTAAACATCTTAGGAGAAGCTAATTTGCGTGCAGTACCAATTTTAAGTTATCTTTTCTCAGTAGTCCTTAAACAATTACATGATACGTTCTGCCCTGGGCCATACAACCAGAAGATGTGTGCAGCAACTCAGTTTTGTTTACAGAGCAGATAGGGAA